TTTCAACACTGATGACAGTTTTGAAATTTCTCTTATGAAAATACCCTTTCCAATAATAATAATAATAATAATATTTTTTGGTATAATACCTATCCCTAGATGAACATAAAAAAAGAATAGTACACTTTCTATAGATTTAATTCATTCCTAAGAAGTTATGATATCGTCGACGTCACATTATTCGGTACCTACATCTCTAGGAAAAGGATTAACAGTAAATAAAAATTAAATATCAGGTGAACCAAGTGTTGAAACAAATGAAATATTATTATAAATCAAGTTTAATTTCGTGCTATGAACTGTGAGCAATATGGAAAGTGAAATCAGTCAAAGCAAACGCAAACGTCCGAATTAATCTAAAGGAGAAAAAACTATTATATATAATGTATATTGTGGGCTCCGTGAACGGAATGAAAATATGTTGCATAACGACGTTGTTGATCTGTGTATACCTATAGTGATTTAACCAAAGTGTCGACGAGAAGTATTCACAGAATTTTAAAAACCTTTCAAGAAAATTAAGTTAAATGTATGTATCTAAAAACATTGAAACTAGAAGAAAAAAACAAATTCAGTTTGATAATGCACCAAATACACTATTCGTAGAAAATATCATTTGTTCTTTTTCCGAAATGAAATTCCAACCTTGAAAAAAGTCGCGATGAATCGATGCCCAAGATATCATGACATATTTTATTGTGCACATTAAAGCAAATGAATAATCAATTTATGAAAAGAGATAGGAGAAGTGCTCTTATAGGAAGAGAAGAAATTCATGTGGCCAAGAAATTACCTGAAAAAAATCTGAAGTTATCGTCTTGGAGGTAGAAAGATTCGTTATTAAGATGAGACTTTGCAATTTGCAAATGATACCAGGCAATTTGGTGGCAACAAGATGGTGATTCCCTCGTAATTCAGGAATTGTCATTGAATATCATGATGAAGGGGTGGTTTCGCGATAGATTGAAATTAGTAATATAAAATACTAGTTGTTGCCCGCGACTTCACCCGCGTAGAATTTGGTAGTTGTAGTACCAATTAATACTATATTGCTGTATCGCTGCTGTTCCAATGTTTTGACAGAATCAGAATCAACAAACTTAGGCGTGCGCAGCGTTATAGAACAGTGCAAAATTGTTCTACAGCGCTATCTAGTGGCGAGTTACAGAAAAATGTAAGCCTAAAAAACTTATCTATGAAAAATTACTTATACATGTCAAGTTTCATCACGATCGGTTGAGCGATGTAGAAGTTTATCACCTACCAACCAACCAACAAACATCCATTTTCATATATTAGATAAGTCTAATGCGATGTGACACCACTTTGTCTAGAAATTATACATTGAAAAAGTTACGGGGAGTCAGTAACTATTCTGACGTATTCTGCATATCTCGTTTCAAAATTTTGTTCACCAAGATGTCTTTGCATTTGTAATATCAAAACTTTATATTATCGTGAGTGAATGTATTATAATAAACGAAAACAGAAAAATTCTATTGAATTTTCTTCTAAGGACATGCCTGCAAATTGCACTGGAGTTGTTGAAGACAGTTTAAAAATTACAAGTAAGGTAAATGATGAGACAGGCAATAAATTAATAATTATTCCACCAGCTGGGAGCAATTTCCTAAATGGAAATGGTGTANTTTTCAATAATACTTCTACTTTTTCATTCTTGATTATTGAAAAAGAATTTGTATTTTTATTTTCTTCATTTGAAATTTTTTTTTATTATTCAAAAAGAATAGATAACTATTTTGCTATATATGATAGCTAAATTTCATTTTATTGGCAATATTGTATGATATAAATAAATTAGGGAAACAATAAACAAGCACACTTATCAAAATGATGAAATCGATCACAGGATAGAATGATTTTCGAGAAGACTTTGGGAAATGGGAAAATTTCTTGTTTATTACCTGAGAGTGATAAGGTCAACTAATCCCTAGATAGAAACCCTTGAATACCTTTAGTCTCGAGAATTACCCCATTTAATAGTTCTTCCTGACTTTGTGAGCTACGTCCGTGGTTATTTGATACAAAGGTGTTTAAAAGTTTATTCTTGTGGAATTTGTAAAAATTATGCCAAGGCCCATCAAGATTTAGATGATTTATTATGTTATTTCAAAGCATATCAAAACGGAAATTTAGACACTTTTGTAAAACAATCGACCTGTTTGGTCGATTGAGAATATTTTATACTTAAAAACGATGACATCAAAACACTTTCACTAATTCACAATAATAATGCCAACTTGGTTACCGAAATATCATAAATGATAGTATGCTTCAAATAAGCTACACTGTAAACGTTCCTCATTAAAGTTGGGATCAAACGTTAAAATGCTAGATCCTCGTTACATTTTTCCTTTCTCAAACGATACCCTATATACATTTTTCTGTTCATGTTATCCATATCTTTTCATCTCCTCCTCCTGATGATGCTAAATAGGTTAACGAAGATACTGCTTTTTAATGCCCCCTTCTAGCGTACTGGATCGCACGTTGAAACGTTTAGGCCCTCCTAGTCATCGTCATCGCATTACCATACAATTTTTATCAATCCTCTTTCTTAACCCTTCATGCTCAATTTTAAGACTGGCAACGGTTCAAACGCTACATCGCCCCCATAAACAACTATTTATTTTACAACCGATTTCAAACCTGTGATGCTTGCGCTGGCCTCAACTAGCCTTTGGAACGAATCAAGCGAATCACCTCGATACCATATTCATCCTCTCATATGTTAAACCGTCCACTCACTCTTACACACACACACCTTTCATCAGATAAACCGCACCATTTTCAACAATTCACAATTACTTCCAATATCTCACGTTAGTGTCGAGGCTAAGGACAAAGTCTACCACTTCTATACGGTGACCACACCGACGACCTACGTTCTATTCTCCGCTATTCATTTCAATTCCCGAATGACGTGTGCTGTGACGTCACAACGGTGTGGCGAGCGGGAAAAAGTAATAGGTTGAGGTAAGCGCACCACGTGACAGCCGGCTGGTCCAGCCTGTCTCATTGACTGGGTAGTCAGTCTCGTTGAAGTGTTGAAATACGTGTTTCGCTATAAAATAGCTTCCTCAAGCGTTTTTCTCATGTCAGAAGACTAACGATATACTTAATCGCTCGTGGATCGATGCCCAATCTACCGAGAGCTCTGATCACGGGTTTTTGGTTCACCGTGTCAAACGCCTTTCTTATGTCTAGATACAATCCGCAAAACCCCTTTTCTGGTAGCTCGCCTCTCTTTAAATAGGTAATTAAAATCATAGAGTTAGCCAATGTTCCGTCAGCATCTGTGAAACCGCGCTAGTTTGCGTTCAGAGATGTAGCGAGCCGTTTTCAATCGACAATGGTCGGTGCATAACCTTTGCAGAGCCGAGCCGACCGTTATTGGCCTCCAGTTGCTTGGATCCAAGGGGCTCCCCTCCGTAAAACCAGAGTCGTCCTCATTTTACCGAAGGTAGAAGGCAGTACGTTCTTCATCTAAATAATGCTAAAGACACTGCCATTATTCTGCTGGGGAATCT